TATTTTGTGCCCAAGAAAAAATTATGCTTTGCCAATGAAACATGCATAGGGGTTTACTGAAATCTGAGTCTCTGCGGGGGTCCAGATAGGCATTTCTGCACTAAAGGCAGCAGAATATTAGTTGGGCAAGGTGCCTCCGTGCTCTACCCATTTGGGCCTGCAGTGTTTATGCTGGAGGACACGTTCCTTTATGCCTGCAATGTTTGCAAGGGCACTGTGGGGATTAATTCATCCAAGAGCTGCCGTGTTTCAGGACTCATACAGAAAAGTCATTTTCTTTATGAAAACTGCTCCTGTTTAATCCTCCAGGGCAGTTCTTGAGCTGCCACCTCGAGGCACCAGCTTCGCTTTCACCACCGCTCCCCGCAGACGAGCGCCCAGCGCTGCTTGTGACAATAACTTGTCTGCAAGATATTCAAAAAGATTATTTCTGCCAATGGCTTGAATACTAACAGAGTCTTAAAAAACTGAAAAGCACTCCACTAGCCAAAAGAAGTGTCTTACTATATTTGATATAAACCGGAGAATTTTCACTGATTTCAATAGGCTACAATTCATTCCTTGTATTTGTATATATTTATGCAAGCTCTTCCCTGCATGCCAGAGCATACCACTACTTAACAAGAGTTATAGGAGCCGGCTGCATTCAGGGAACATCATCTTACTGCGTTAAGGAGATCCTGTGTTTTCCTCCCCTCAACCTCCTGCTTAGCAGCAGGCTTAATTGTCCTACCATCTCCTTAGATTGTGAATAATTATCTTCATTTATATTGTTATCTTGAATGTATTTATAGCCTGATTCTTATGGGCTAGCATCACCATCTGTTTCCTCAACAGTTACATATTCGGGATAGCGAGCGTGCTTTCCACATTATTATGCAAGCAGCTTCCTTGATTAAACCAGCACGATGTGGATAGATTTTGTTATGAAACACTGGCACACTTCTAGGCTCTCTGGCTTCTATTATCAATAACTGCTAGGCTCTGGGAAGACCATCCATTAAATTAAGCCACTTCTAAGCTGCAGCTTGCATTTCAGAGCTCGTGTTAACTGTGATTGATTAATGTAATTTAAGGAAAGATTTCCAATGGGCTATAAAGGCAGTGATGTGATTAGCAGCAAGCTCTGATCTTTCCTAACCCAGCGATAATGTGTTTAGGAGAAAGCAATGGGCTATATATTTCAAGTAGAGCCTGTGACCTCTAAAACATATCTAAGTAATTTTTTTTTTACATAAAATATTGAATATAGAACATAGACATGTTGTAGGCATAATTATGACACAGTAACACACCATAAACAGGTGAGGTATGGGGCTAAAAATGGTCATGAAAACATCATGCTCAGATTGGACATCAGTCATTAAATTAACCATGTATTATTTAATTTTTTAGTCCAAGTTTTAGACTTCAAGTATTTCAAGAGCCTCAACATTAAGTATTTTAGGTTACATCTTTAGAAGATCCCTGTCACAGAGATATTCAGGAGCATTATACGGAATTTAAAAGAATGAAAATTCACACATCAGCGTGAGCACATTCTCAACAGGCCCAGCAACCTCGCGGGCTTCCTCCCACTGTCCTCAGAAGAACCCGGGGCAGCAGGCAGCACTCAGTACATGAGCTTGGGAATTCCAGGATCATTTTCCTGACAGGAAACCCAAAGAGAGAAAAGCATCTGGCATAAAATGCCCAGTTCAGTCAGGGATAATTCTAACTGAACGTGGCTTCTTGGTACACTGGGGTATTGCTCAGACATGGTAGAGCTAAGGCTCTGTTGTGAGAACGACATTTAAACATATTTGCAGGCAAGGCTGTTTGCATATGCTTTAAAGGTCAGCTGCATTTCCATATTTTGGAAGGGCGTATAATGTAACTATAAAATATAATAATAAAAATGTTAATAACATAAAAACACACAAAATCAGAAGGCAATTTGAATCGGGTCTTGGAGCATTTAATTGCTACAGGGTTTTGTTTGTTTATTTTTTAATGTGTTGGCATCCTCCTCTGCTGCCTTGGCAGTGCTTCCTCCTACTCCAAGAGCCCAGTGGTTGTGTGCTGGTCCCTTCGCTGTTCCTGCATCCCACATCACCACTGCAAGCTTGTTCCTTTTTCCTCAGTTTTCCTTGCCAAGAAGAAGCAGTTGACAGGATATCAGAATGGTCGTATGAAGAGTGCAGGGGCTTATACTGAATTATGGGACAGAGTTTGAACAAAAGATATACAGGCTTTATGAGGAATATACAGGCTTTGCGAGGAGTTTCCCCTGTGTTTTTCACTGTAGAGTTCCCCTTCTTTACACCTTTCTTGCACTCCCTCTGCAGTGCCTGTATTCCTTGTGTTTCCTTGAAATATACAGAACCCTTCCAGGACGCTCCAAGTGCTTCAACTCCTCAAGTTTCCAGTCCTTCTCCACACACATGGACCTTCTCTTCTCAGCTCCATATTCCTGACTCCACTTTGTGACCCAGTTACATTTAGGGCAGCCAGAAGGGGGGCAGGTGCCAGGGCTGTGACAGGAGCAGAAGAGCTCAGGGATTTGCAGAGCTGCTAGTCCAACGACGGGCCAGTGCTGAGGTTTGCTCAGGCGATAGAGCAGATGGTGGCAGCATCTTTTGCTGACACATCTTTTGGTGTCTCACATCATTCCCGTTTATCGTCCAACTCTACCACACAGCTCCACCTTCACAGATCTTAAATAGAAAGGGTGGATGTGGGACAAACAGCACTCCGGCAAAGTACATGAAAAGCATCTAGAAACTAACAGCAGCTCACAGCTCACATAGCTTGCATTTGGGGCTACAGAGCACACCAGCTATGAGCCCTTGAGTTCACTGTGACAACAGCCTACGCTGAAATCTCACTTCATTGAGTGCCCTTGCTGCATATACACACTTCAGCCTCTTTGGCTTGCCTATCTGGCATGAGCAAAAACACAACCCACCAGTTCATAGTTTTTCACTATTTTTAAAAAAATATTTATTTCATTTTCCTGAAAAATGAAATGTGTCCCATGCATTCATTTGGTACAAATACCCTTTGACAGATCTTTTGGAGTTGTGATCATGCCGACGCTCCTGGGCATGTATAAAAATGCCTGAAGAGCAGCTGATTTTACAAATCTGGTTTTTGTGGGGAAAGGAGCTAATGGGTAGGGGAAAGGAGGTTGTTGATGGTAGTGGGATAAATGTTACCTTAGGAATCTCTTTCTCAAGTTATCCCAGATTTGCATTACACTAGCCAACATCTGTTATAAATTCCCTTTTCCCAGGAAAGGAATCAAGTCACAGGAAGTCATATATCACAACCAATATTCATTAGAACACCTTTTATTAATTAAGCTCTATTTATAGTGCCAAGCTGTTACGACTATTAGTAGTTAACTAATGACAAACTTCACTCACTTGCACACTTGCTCTCATAGGTTTCCAGCTGGATCAACAGTTGGAAGGCCCAGCTGTTTATCCAGAAAATGACAGCTTGTCAAAGGACACCTCCTTTCTTTGGGTATACAGATAATCCTGCTGTCTCTCTCAGCACAGAGCAGCCTTTGTGGATGCTGTTGGATTTACACAAGCTGCTGCTGATGTTGGTGTGTGTTGGGGGCTTTGGGCAGATGCAGCAAACTCTTGGTGTCCTGTGTTACTTCTTGCAGACTCACATGTTGCCTTTCAGTGTGTATCTTTCCTCTCTTTGGTCTGTTTCTGGGTAACAGCTCCTCCATCCACACCAGGAGGTACCTACAGAACCCATTCACACAAACTCACACTACGGGGCTTTCATGACATGGTTCTTACCAACCAGAAATGCCAAGACCATCAAAGCAAGGCTGCGTATTTCAGAGACGTCAAGTAACTTGTAAACAGAAAGTGGTGACCAAGCTTACCTACTGCAGAGCTGGCATCTACCTACAACACAAAGATTTAGGATTATTTAGAACAACTTAACATTTCCTAACCTAGATGGAGTTAAAGCCTCGGTACTGGGTCAAAGTATTTTATTATATATGGTCATACACAAACTTGCATGAATACAAACACAAATTTTTATTTTCTTCAGAACTGAGTAAGATCTTGGTTTCAGTGGCTTGTTATTTTGTGAGGACTTGAGGCAACAGAGTGTTTTCACAAACTCTGCAAAATGCTGATGTGGCTCTACGATTGAGTCTGAACAGTAATTCACCCCTTCAAACCAAAAAAAAAAAAAAAAAAAAGGCTGATGAAGGCAAACCCCAACTGCACTGGCACAATATACTTTCATGAAAATAACTAAAATAGAAGTAAATCAAATTAAACTTTTAACACTTGGGTCTTGTCAGTCACCTCCCACCAGGGCTCACCACCTGTGGCCACCAGGCAGAGGCATCCCAGTCCTGGATGCATGGGGTAGCATGGTGGGGTTTGATATTTCTACCTTTGGTGTATTTGCAAGTTCCTATCTTCACTTCCTAATTGTCATTCTCTTGGAGTAAAGAGGTGTAGTTTATGTTTTTGATTGGTTGGTTGTGGTTTGGTGTGTTTTTTGTTGTTGTTGTTGTTGTTTGTTTTCCATGACAGATCTGTTATAGCAGTGAGGAAGTATGGCGATTTTTTGTTTATTTGATTTTTGCTGTTGGTTTTCCATGACAGACCTGTTATTTCTGTTGGAGATCAAGGCTTATTGTATCCTAAAGGGTTACACCTAGCACTTCGGTACATTTACATATCATCCTAGTAGCCTCCTAAGTGATAGCTTCCTATAATTTCCTTCATTTATCCCTGCCTATGTCAGGAGGGATGGATCTAGGTATCCTTAAGATCCCTTCCACCCCAAACCACTCCGTGCTCCTCGGCTTTCTCCTGCCCTCCTCCTGCCCCTCAGCTCCCCGTGAGGGAGCCGCCATGAGGCGCCCCCCTCAGCCTCCTCTACCCCGGGGCTGACACCCCATGGCCGGCCGGGCAGGGCTGCGGGGCGGAGCAGGGGAGGAGAAGGACGGCCCCGGTGTGGAGAGGGAGGGAGAAAGGAAGGAAGGAGGCAGGGAGGAGGCAGGAAGGGAGGCGGCTCCGCCATTGCGAGGCTGTGGGAGGCGAGGGGAAGCCGCCATGCCGCTCTACGAGGGGCTGGGCAGCGGCGGGGAGAAGACCGCCGTGGTGATAGACCTGGGCGAGGCTTTCACCAAGTGAGTGTCCCCCCTCCCCGCTTCTGTCGCGACTCGCCGGGGAGGCCATGTCGCGACAGCAGGGCGGTCCTGGCGCCGGGCGGTTGCTTCCGGTGCCTGCTGTCGGGAGCAATAATTAGTAAATAATGAGCTTGGTGGTTGTTTTTTTTCTCCCACCCCCTTCCTATGGCGGTTTGCTTTGTGTAAAGCCGACCAGAGCATTGCTTTCCGATCTCGTGTTTTGGGTTAAAAAAACAAATATAAAATAAAAAATAGCGACGCCGCACACGGGTGTTGCAGAGCCACCCCCCTGTGTCCTGGGCCAGAATAAGCTGCAAGTGCCCCTGAGGTTTCAGGAGCCTTGCACAAAAGGAGAAAAACAACACACAAACAAACAAAAAACATTACATTGCAACAAACCCATCTCTTAATAGACCCTTGTCTTTGGTCTTTTGGGGCATTTACCTGCTCGAAACCCTGGTGCTGTCTCAGCCTCCCTGATGAGGCACACTTGTAGGAGCACGGTTTCATCCCCAGACGTGTTTTTGTATTACGTTGTACTTGCTTGTTTTTTTGGAAATGGTTGTATAATTACATACTTGAGGCCTGGCTTTGTTACCTGGAAGTCACTGGTTGTGGAAAGGATTTAATAAAACCTAGCCCAGGTAGAGACAAGTAACTCCCTGAGTGGCCGCCTGTGGGTTTGTCGTGTCACTGATCACAAGCTTTTCCCAAATTTGGGATGCTTTTGTGCTTTTATCCCATGCTCTCATACAAAAGCATTTCCCTTAAATAGCATGCTTTTAGGGCCTGTTTCCAGTCTCTGTTCTTATAAAAGTGGTGGCAACTTCATTACCTCTGAGTTACCTGTCCTTTTCTAAGTATGACTGAAATTAACAGAAAGTTCAGAAGTTATTAGGGTGACAGGTAAATGCAACCCTATGCACACACTGGGACTTTTGTATTAAAAGTACTTGAATTCCAGCAGTTTCTAGCTTTCTACTAGTGTTTTCTACTATTGTTTCTTCTGACGTTTTTACTTAATCAAATCTTGATTTTTTTTTTTTTTTATGTGTTTTCTTCAGTCCATGCTGCCTATGTATATTAAGGTGCAATCCATTTATGAAAACCAAATAGGTTTCCAAGAATTTCATTTGGGAGTTGTTACTATTTGTATTGTTGTGTTGTATCTAAATTGGATGCTGAGTTCTTGTGTTTTGTCAGGAGTCCTGCAGTGGTGACCAGCCATCAGGAGGTGGTAGTGCCTAAAATCGCCCAGGATACCTGTAAAGGGAGTGCATTACAAAGTATAAAACAAGCTGGAAAAAAGAGTCCATGGGCCAGTGCTGGTCAGCAGTGAAATGGGCTGTAGGACCCATATGATTGCGGTCACTAAGTCTGTCTTGTTTCTGCCAAATGTGCAGCCAGCAGGGTGAGGGAGGGGATTGTAGATTAGCTATTTGGAAGAAATTCTTTACTTTGAGGACAGTGAGGCCACCCAGAGCAGCTGTGGCTGCCCCATCCCTGGCAGTGCCCAAGGCCAGGCTGGATGGGGCTGGGGCCAGCCTGGGCTGGCAGGAGGGGTCCCTGCCCATGGCAGGGGGCTGTAAGGTCCCTTCCAACCCAAACCATCCTGCGATTAAATAAACATCACAAAAAGTGAGGATTTAAAGAGGACATGATGACTTGGTGCTGCCTGTGTTTACTGAGAGCTTCAGTGAAAACTGGGCTGGTATGGAGGACACAGGAAGGTACTCTGGAAATTTAATAGATGGCAAGGAAGGTTGTAGGGGATTGTTGTCAACAAAAAGTTATATTCAGTGGAAATTAGGAGGCACATCAGAGTTGAGCTTTACAGTCCTTACAGGTATTTCACTTAATGCAGCTGAGAGGGAGTCACTGAAGATGTATACGATCCTTCTCATTCAAAATAACTAGATAGAAAAGTCATATGTAAAACACCTTCTCGCAGTTACAGAACTTCTCCTAATTAATTACTCTTTGGTGCATAGGCTTCTCTGCTAATAGTGACTTCCAATAATAAAGTTTTCCATGTTTTCTTTTAGGTGCGGTTTTGCAGGAGAAACAGGACCAAGATGCATTATTCCTAGTGAAATAAAGAAACCTGATGTCCCTAAGGTAAACTATTTTAGTTTTGCAATGTTTAGTATGTTATAATTTTCAGGGAGAATTTTCAGATACGTCTTCTGTTCATCATCAGATATTTTTCATTATAACAGCTGCTATTAAATATTGTAACCAAATAAAAGTAAGCGTGATACCAACGTGTATTAGTTGGTACTCATTGCTCATGCATCTTATTTTGGGGGCATTTATTGAAACATTTCTTTGCCTAACTGTGCTCTTTTTTTAGTAGAGAATGGCAGCTTTGGAAAACTAATGTTAAGTTACCAGTATGAAAAATTAGTTTGAATAAACTCCAGAGTTTAGTTACAGGGTGAATTGTGAGGTGCATTGTTAGGTACATATAGCAAAACAGGCAAGAGTGAGTATTTCTTTATATGTATCAGTTTATATATATTCAGATGTATGATTGATCATATCAAAAGAAATATATCTATGTCTAATATTTATGCTGACGATGGGTATTTCTTTTCTTTGCAGCCTATCAAAGTTGTCCAGTATAATATTAATACAGAAGAGCTATATTCATATCTGAAGGAATTTATTCATATGTTGTATTTCAGGTAAGGGATACATGTATGTGGGCGTTAATTATTCTTGCCTTCTGCAGCTTTTTTTCTGAGTGCATCTAGAGGTATTCAGGTGTCACTGGAGACTTCTGTCTTGTTGAGTTGGAGAACATAAGATTTTGCAGGTAGCTGCCTGGCTGTATTCTTGCCAGAGAAATTTAGTGGTGCTGAGATTTGGGTTATATTACAAAGAGTTAGGGGTCTGCAGCATCAGCTTCTCTCTAGAAATAAAATATGTTTGGTAATTTGCCTTTTAACTGTGGCACTCATAAAGGAGTAGATGAGAAAGTCATTACCTGAGGAGTTGTACTGATTTTGGTAGGGCTAAAGCTCATCCTACATCAGTGCAGAACTCATTGCTGCATGGCCATGGTTTTAAGGAGAAATCTTAACATATAGGACACTCTTGCCTGATTAATACACGTTTTTGTTGTATTTTTAGTATCAGAGAATAATGAATTTGGAGCTGGTAATTTTCTCTTTATTTCCAGTCTGTACTTTTATGCAGCTCATGCAGCAAATGAGTACTTAATGTCTGTGCCTCAGATCTCCAGTGTTGGGTACTTTTTTGTGTCCCTTATCATTGATTTGTAATTGAAATCGGGACATTTGTATCCTCTCTTTTATGGCTATACTGTATGACACTGGATAAGCCATTAATGACTACTGTGCATATCTATTTTTGCATTTCTTTATGTTGCTTTAGAAATGCATAACCTTTGTAGCTACAGGCTGCTGGCAGAGAGCTCTATTACATGCTTTCTATAACTTGATTTCCTAACTTTCTATTGGGAATTTTTTTTTTATACTTCAAATTTGGGAACAAGACTTTGAGATTTGCCATGGAAAATGCTATCTAAATGCAAATTATTATGATTTTCAGGCAGAATGGAATATTAAGGTAGGGCTTGTAATATGCGCATAAACTTGCCAGTTTTGTTTTACACATCTTGCCTTTTTCAGACATCTGCTGGTGAATCCCAGAGACCGTCGTGTTGTGATCATAGAATCTGTCCTCTGCCCTTCACACTTCAGAGACACACTCACAAGAGTCCTTTTCAAGCATTTTGAGGTATGTGTTTCAGGTAACTACTGTATGTGCTAAGCGTAGCACTTGACAGTAGAAATCTTACTGATGATCACTACTGTATGTGGATGAAGACATGGAAATAACGCCAGAAGAATGAGAGAGACATAAAGAAGATGAAAAAAATCTGATGGTCATCTGGGGAGGTGGGGCTTGGAGATCAGACTAAAGCACTTTATAAGTTGCAAAAAACCAGCAGCTATTAAGAATCTGAAAGGTTTCTCTGGCTTGTATGAAAATATAGCTCACATCATGCTGCTCCAGACAGATCCAATAATTTCTATTGAGCGCTGCCGGAAGCCAGAATTTATATTTAAACACTTCTTAGTGCTCTGTCATCAAATCTCATGACTTCTATCAGAGTCAATATCTTTGTCTAGCACATGATCTTTGGCTGTACTCATTTAGAAATGAGAGTTTACCTGAAATTCATTATCCCCTCAGCTTGATCGGTCTTTTTGATAGAGTCAAGAAAAATCCGAACCCTAACTCTTGGTTAGTTCTAGAATAAAATGTATTGGAAGGTGGTTCCATAACTTTTTCAATTCAAATAGAACAAAAGTTGAAGTTCTTCTATAAAAAGCAGTGAAAGTAGTTTGTCTGCAGTGCTCCTCCACTATGATTCCACAACACAATTTAACAGCTGAAGTTGAAATTCTGCATAATTCTTTCCTATGATAGATACAATTTTCTGACTTGAATTCACTTGAATTTCACTTGAATTCACATATTTGTATGTGTTTTTTGTCCCAGTCCTTCTGCCTCAAATCTCTTTCTGGGGAAAAAAAATGTCCCCAATAAAGCAATTGCATGCAGAATTGGTTGTCTAAAGTGACTCATGACTTGGAGAATCATATTTTGATGGAGAGACTTTGTAGCATGTTAAGAAGCCAGTTAATACTGAAGTGGGGTTAATTCTCTCTGGCTAATACTTCAATCTGGTGTGACTCATAAGAGTGGCATTTTAATACATGGTCAATATTATAACTTGTCTCTGGGCCAAGCACCAGTAATGTTGCCCTTTAATGCAGGCTTTATTGAAATTGCTTCTTTAATTCACGCTTCAAGGCATGATATTCAGTAAAGGAACAGTCACAGTCTAGGAAATTTGTTTTGTAGAATTCTAGGGGAAGAAAGTAATTCTTATGTAATCATGACTTGAGTTTCCATGTTGCTCTGGGAAAAGCATTTTAAATGGCTTCTTCTGGGAGATTGTGTGCACAGCGTGTTGTAGGGCACGCTTTCATGGTTTTTCTGTTGCCTTTAATCACATCTTCAAATCTTTATGCAGCATTTCAAGTAGTCATGTTTGTTTCTCTAATTTCTTTTCAAATGACAATAGGAAATCTGAACTATGACTTAAGATTAATTCCATAATTAACGCTTTCCTTATGAGTCCATTCCAAGATAAAATATTACTGAAGTGCCTTGTATGTACCATGAATTAGATGAATATAGATCTTACTATCCTGTTGTATTTTGTTAATTACTACACGACCTTAAAAACTAAACTAAAAATTTATATCTCAAGATACATTTGCTTGGATTTTGATTTTAATATAACATTTAGGGAAAGCATCATTGCTTTAGGTGTTTCATGTTTTTTATATTTTTCCCTCTCCTGTCAATTGCCCTCTTGGTTTCCATGTAGGTACCTTCTGTATTGTTTGCTCCAAGTCATCTGATGTCTCTCCTGACACTTGGGATCAATTCTGCCATGGTGCTGGACTGCGGATATAAAGAAAGCTTGGTGCTGCCTGTATCCTTTAATAATACAGAATGAAAATTTTCAGCAGTAAGGCTATTATGACAAGCTCTATTTTATAGGCTTTCAAGTGTGATAAAAAATAATACAAACAGATTGGCCAATGCAGCTTTTAGTTATAAGATATCATGACTTGGGGAATCTTTTCACAGCTGATGTGTTAAGTCTGTGTTCCACCAAAGCTTGGGAAAGGTGGTATGGGATTCTTAGGTGGTTCATGACTCTATTTTTTATATATTAGTATTTAGTTTTGGAGAAAGGTAGCTAATGTAAGAAAATGCTGGGGAGAAGCAGCAGTTCCAGCAGACTGAAAACTTGTGCCAAAAAAGGAGAATTTCCTGATCTTCGTGTAGATATATGAGGGAATTCCGATTCTGAGCTGCTGGGGTTCTCTGCCGTTGGGAGGAAAGGCTATCCACAAGTAAGTTTGCTGTTACACATCCCAGGCTACTGTTGATTGATTTGTGGAAGTTACCCTTTGATCAACGACGAAAGATTCCTACTGAACATTGCTTAAATCATAACTGTTGCTATGCCAGTATTGCATTTTTAAGTTACCACTTTGTGGCTTTTGTTGGTGTAGTAAAATTTGTGTAAACCTGATCTACTTCAGCCTGTATTTAAAAGAATCTAGCTGAAGGGAGTAAATAGTGTCCCTTAAGCATAATACAGAGAATTGTCCTGAGTTAATAGCTGCCTTTACCTAACTTAATTTGCAATGTTCTAGGGAGCTGGAATATCAGTTGTTGGAACAGTGCACAGTTGATACAGGATTAGCCAAAGGACAAAGCCTTCCGTCTGTGATGGGTAAGGTCTGTTTGCTGCAGTGTAAGTGCTGTGAGCTTGCACTGGGGAAAGGGGATTAATACTGACAGTGAATTAAAAAATATGCATATAGTATTCATTGTATCTTACATGATCTTCTCTCATGATTTCTTTCTGTATTAAATGAGTATATTACTTCTCTAGTAAGCTACTCATAACACTAAGTTTAAATGAAAGCCCAGATAAAAGGTCTGTGGTGTTTTTTCAGTCTCTTTTGAGAGCAGGGTAACTTTCTCTGTTCGTTATATTCTTCTACTTAGAAATCTTTAAAGGCTGCTGTCCAAGTGGAACTGTCATAAATGTAACTCAAAGTTAGTTTGTTAAATTCTCTTTCTACTTGAAAAATTTTTGTTCTAACTGATTTTATTGTTGTTGCTGCAGGCTCAGTTCCAGAAGACATAGTAGAAGATATAAAAGGTAAAACTTTCTATTTTGTGAAGCTCTAGTTTATTAAATTGTGCAGTAGAGGAGAGAATGGTAATAACAAGCACGCAGAACTTTGTATTTGGGTACTTATTTTGGCTTCTCTGTTTATTGTATTTCTTACCTACCAGAAGGACTTGCCTTGTTCTCCCTGTTTGAAAGCGAACAGAAAACCACATTGAAATCCTCTTTCAGGTTTAGCCTTTGTGTTGTCCAGAGAGCTCGTATTTTGGTGTGGTAGTGCAGTAGGAGTGTTAACACAATTATGTATCCTATGATCAGCAGGTCAGGTTAACTTGGTGTTGCTTTTTTTTTTTTTTTTTTTTAACTACCAACACTTTGTGTATGAATGCGTACAGTCTGTACTGCACATGGTACAAAGTTAGCAGATCTAATTTCAAAAATTACCATCGTAGAAATGTTTTGCTTGTAAATGCACCATTTAAGTAATTTTAATATCATGAAATATGAATATTTTAAACTGATTTTGTGTAGAAATTAACAAAGGGTCTATTTGCCTCAAGATAAACTTTGCAAAAAAAAAAATCAAGTGTGTATAAAAGACATCTTGATATGTTAATAAGTAGGCAGGAGGAATTGAGGACTACATTTACATCAAAAGAAAATAAGATATCTCTTTAGGCAGAACTTAAATGGGCTCCTATGTAATGTTTCATGTGATATAAAAATAGTTATAATTGCAGAAGGTAATAACTAATACCTATCTTCTGGACCAAATTAGGAAAAATCCATCAGTGAAATGTAAAATAACTGAAATACAGCTGGTGCTTTGTCAAATGGAAGCTCCTTTTCTAATTCCTGGACTTGGAACACAGTTTCCTGATTGGTTCTGGTTTTGATGCAGTCTCTTGGAATCAGATAATAATGTGTTGGGGTTGAAATTAGGATTGCTTGTGTATTAAGGGTTGTTCCTTTGTGTCAACCATTTATGAAGAAGATTCTTATTATATGCATATTATTATTATTATATGCATTGTATTAATATAGCACAAATTAATAGTAGTAGGCATACAAATAAAATCGTGGTCTGTCAGTGCTGCTTAGAGGAAAAAAAATACTTCTGGATTTCTTAGGAAGCTGAAGAGTTGCACTAGGAAAAATACATGATCAGTGATTGTTTAAAAGAAAAAAAAAAATACAATGTTGTATTTGAAGCCATAGTGCAAGACCAGGAATGGTGTGTTTGACAGTGGAATTCAATCCCTGCCACCTTGTGGTAACTGAAAATATGATTAATAGCATCTTTTTTCTTCAAATCTTATGTAGCTTGTTTGAGAAAGAAATCTTGCCTGTTCTTGCATAGTTCTGGTGTCAGTTTCATTCAAATTTATGATCTAGATACATCTGAATTCAGATGGAAGTGTAGAGGCTTGTGTTGTGTTTTTTGTTTGTTTGCTTTTTTGTTTTGTTTTGTTTTCTACCAGCAGGGCCTAAAATGTGTTCTGTAAGTTAAGCAGAATTGTCTGTTTTATTGATGAAAGGATCCAACAAAGTCTCTCTTCTGCCCCTTGTTTTCTTTTACAAAGTTCGCACTTGTTTTGTGAGTGATCTCCAGCGTGGGCTGAAGATCCAAGCAGCCAAGTTCAACATTGATGGCAGTGCTGAGGTGGGTGGAGAATGAAACTTATCCTGGTGTTTTGAAGTGGACGTAGCCATTTTGGCCTTTAAAACAATGTTCGTGTTTTTATTTCTAGCGTCCTCCGCCACCTCCAGATGTGGACTATCCTTTAGACGGAGAAAAGATTCTCCATGTAGTTGGCCCCATCAGGTGAGAAATACGGTAGTGAAGCGTTTGTCTTTAGGAGGACATTGTTTTGACTCTGAGAGCACATAAATTTTCATAAAACTGAATTGTAATGAAGCACTTGCATTTGGGAAGCACTTTCTGCTTCCCAAAGAGCTCACAACTGAAGATGAGCCAGCAGATCAGAGGGGTGGGGGAAAACAGAAATGGAAAATGAATGCATGATGGCGAGACAGGTTTAAGTGGAGTGAATGAGACTGTTGCCTCCCCTTTGGCACTGCCTGGTGCATGCGCTGCATGACAGAAGAAGCTGTGATGTTGTGCTGTCAGCAGGAAGTCTGCAGTTATTTCCAGCCCTGCTGTTAGCTCATGGGGTAGCATTGCTTCTCATTAACACTCATTTCCTGTCCTTTCAACAGAGACTCAGTTGTGGAAATACTGTTTGAACAGGATAATGAAGAGACATCTGTTGCCACTTTGATCTTAGATTCGCTCATTCAGGTATCTTCATCTTCTAAACAATTGCTTGCATGTCTCCAGAGTTAGGGAACCTGCCCTTAGAAATGTTTCTTTTTAGCGTGATGCCCCCCTGACTGCAGGTTACAGTTGGTTTCAAAATCTGAGCACAGCATGACTCCTTGGGTTCTGCCACATGATGAATTACTGTGGGGCAGCAAGGCACGGTGTGTCATCCGCTCTGTGATTGTTTTCGTACTCCTGGGTGTACAACAATTTATTTAGAACAGCTTTCAGTCGAGAAAAGAAGCAATGCAGTGCTTCTTCCTCAGCAAAAGGGAGAACCTAGTTTGCGTTTATTTTGGTGGTGAAGCTCTGTACATACCTATATGCATACAGACAAAGGAGTAGCTAATGCCTTGTTGTTACGAGAATTACACTGCTTGAACCGAAGTAACAGGTATTCTATTTCTTCGTTTTTCAGGGTGTTTTGCTCACAGTTAGACTTCCTGCAGACTGCTTATTTACCTGGATAGAATAAAGTGAATTTGGGCATCTCTATTACAGGCAGTATTTTAGAAATCTTACGGGAAGTTTTCTCGGCATATACAAACACTTCATTTCTTACCAGGTTTAAGATAAAAATGATTAGAAAACCAAAATAAATGGAAATTTTCATTATGATGCGGTGTAAATTTCATTTCCTTCCTGTAGTTACTAATGTCATTTAAATTAGCTCGCTGAGACTTACTTTACTGGAGAGTGACAGACTTAAATGGCATGACAACCATTTCAGTTACAGCTCCTGATGTTTAACAAGATCTGTTCCTGGATCTGTTCCCTCCCCTCTCTACCTCCAGGCCTTTACCTTGCATCATTCTTTGGCTTGCAAAGGCAAATGTTAAATTTAAAAATGTCAGAGAGTGTCCAGTTAACTTCTGCTGGACAAGAGGAGCACAGCCCTCTGACAATTGATTTTTTTCAAAGGGACTGCACAAATCTTGTTGAGGGGGAGAACTGACAAAGCTTGGTTTTCTTGTGCCTTTGTGTCTTCATGTTGGATTAACTGATACAAAAGCAAGCTCTAGCTTTTCTGCCACAGAGGCTTCTGTAGCATCTTTTTCCTGTATGAAGCTAAAAAGAGTCAAGCTCACGTTTAACGCTTTTCTCTCCAAGAGCACTGTTTGAGGTTTTGCGTATCTCCTCTGGCACATCTTCTCCCAGAACTCAGAGGAATCAGTCACCGATACCTCTGTCCTCTCTTGTCCTGGCCCGTCTCAGCTACAGGGCTTTACAGTGACTCATGGCGTGCTCATGCAGGCTTCAACTGGGCAGGTCCTTGAGCCTGGTTTTCTTTGAAAATGTGGGTAAAAAATGATGTAGATTGTTTTTCAGAGAAGTAACAGAGAACAGTGATTGAAATGCATAGGAAATCTAGCTGAATTCCTAAGACACCTTTGAATGCTTATACATGCAATTTCAATGAGTGTTGTTTTTTTTTTTTTAATGTGTTTTTTGTTTTAATTCTCTTTTGCTTTAGTGTCCAATAGACACCAGGAAGCAGCTGGCAGAGAACTTGGTAGTTATTGGCGGCACTGCCATGTTGCCAGGATTCCTGCACAGACTCATGGCTGAAATCAGGTACCTGGTAGAGAAACCAAAATACAAAGAAGCACTCGCCACTAAAACCTTCAGAATTCACACTCCGCCTGCCAAACCCAACTGCGTGGCGTGGCTGGGAGGTAAGAACGAAACTGACTGTTAAGCACAGGTACAAAATGAATAAACAAACCTCCAGGGTGGGATTTGTCATGAATAAAGAGCAGTAAAATTTAGGCGAACTATTGAAAGTAAGCTGCACCTGAGCTCTGTGGAGTTGTTCTGCCCTCCTGGAAGAAATCGTGCAGACTGCAGCTCCCTCGGGGGCACTTGGAGGGCAGAATGGCACCGAGGTTTGCGGGAGCTTTAAGCAGGTGACGGTGCAATTTGAACCAGCGCTGAGTTGACTCGAGTGCAGTGCATGGCTACTGCCATGGGGTGGCACCAGTGAAGAAATTAGGGAGAGCAGAGAGAGACCTGCAGCCTGCAGGAAGATCTCGTTTGAAAAAGGAGGAGCTGCCATCTGTGGCAGGGCTGTTAACCACCCTGTGCAGCTCCAGGGTGCCAATAAAAAGTGCTTCAACTGTGCAGTGAAGTTTGGATGCAATACAGACAGGACAGGGAAAAAGCATGGTCAAGAAGGGCTTTGCATTGCTAGCAACTCTTTCCAGGAGGATTCTCAGACTGGAAAGAATTCTGGCTTCTCTAAACTTCTGGTTAGTAAGCTGAGACCATCCGTTATGTATGAGGAACTCATTTTGATTTTATTTCCGTATACTTTTGGTACGTGTTTATCATATTTTAGTTTTAAAACTTTTTGAGTCTCATTTCAGGATTAGCAAACAGGAATGATTTATATGCATCAAGTTCTCTGAGACTTTCACTGGCAGTGCTAATCAGCCGCTGTGCTCTAAATCTTCTCACAGCTTGGGGGAACTTCTTGTGCTGCATCCTTTTTTGGGAGAGGAAATCTCCTTAAACGCATGAGGGTTTGTTTGAAGTGCTTAACATCAAAACTTGCAGAAGGCTTATCATAAGAAGGGGGTCAACTGGGCCAGTTTGTTCTCAGCAGAAACTATTTTTTTTTTTGTTTTCACTTAGTTTCAAAGGACATTATTGGAAGCAATTTGAGACTAGCTGGGCTACTAAAAAGGAAAGTGACTAGATTCTTTCATTCCTTTATTTGTTTATTTTGGACAAAGCTGAAAAAAATAAGATTTGTGATGAGAAGTAGGAAAAGAAATTCAGTACACCAAATAATTTTTGTTTGTTTGTTTGTTTTTTCTCAATGTAGGGGCCATTTTTGGAGCACTTCAGGACATCCTTGGGAGCCGCTCTGTGTCCAAAGAGTATTACAGCCAGACAGGCCGCATACCTGACTGGTGCTGTCTCAATAATCCTCCACTGGAAATGATGTTTGATGTTGGAAAAGCGCCCCCACCGCTGATGAAGAGGGCTTTCTCCACAGAGAAATAAGCACCTAAGTGCTGCTCAAGGATTCTCCTCATCTATTTCAAGTACACACACGCACACACACATTGGGAACTTTTTTTTTTGTATTAAGTAATTTATGTAACACTTCGGTATGACCAATGTGGATGGTTTTGGGTAGTAGCATGGTATGTACTAACGCTGTATTTAAAACCATGTCCAGTTGTTGTTCAGAAAATTAACTTTGGCAACTACTACGCTATTCTGTCCTCTTATGAAAAGATGTGTAGTGATGAGGTGTAGCTTACTGAGTTCTGTTTGTACAGTAAATGACATGGTTGAGATTTGTTTTAAGATATTTTGATTTAAAGTATGCTCAGAAGAGTAACGGACAGGCTCCTTTGGGAAACATCTGTCAAAGCTTTTCTGCCACATTCTGTACGAAGTATTCCACCCTTGAATCACCTGTGAGGACTGTTAGGAAATGGTTTGGGGCTGTTTAGCAAAGGTGCTGTAACAATATTTCCCCTGCACAGGGAGTCCTGCTTGCAGAGTTTTAGCAGAGAACTCTTCTGCCTGTAATTCTCAGCTAACAGCTCCCCCAGTGCCTCTCCTCCGAGGAAGGATTGAACCGTGTAAGAATTATGAACAGGTGCACGGGGAAATCTTGAACGTGTTACTGAAATGCCCAGTTCAGGAGTCACTCCTTTGCCCTCCTTCCCCCCATCAGAAATATTAAAACCTCATTGTACTGCAACAATAAGTATTAAATGAAAATGCACTACAGAGTTAATTGCTTCAAGAAATGATGTACATTTTGACATAAACACCGTATTTGGGAAAGATGCTTCTTGTAGCTGATTTCCCCATGATGTCTGCTAACTACCTGCTGGGGTTCTCATAGCACGTTTCTAAAATTTAAGCATATGTTAAAAGAAACATTCTGGTGGTGAACCTTAACACGAGGCAGCATTTAAATAAGCTTCTGCATGACTTTGCCGTTCTGTTTCAGATGTTTTATTTTAGCATGTGGGGTTATTTGACACAGGGTAGGAGATGTTTCTTTTTATCTTAACTGTTTTTGAAATTAAAGAAAAAAAAAGGAATCACTGCTTAAAGTGTTACAGTCTGTCATGGGGGAGATTTTACTGGTTGGTAACAGTGGTCTGATAAGCACTAGAACAAAAGATTTCTCTCCAGTGGTGTTGGCAGGTGTATCTTTAAATCGCCTTCTTTCTACTTCAGATGAGCTGCTTGGCTGTCGTACAGGAAACAGGAAAATAAACAGACGTTGTCGTGAGCAGTTCTCAGTGCTTGTTTTACATTCCCAGGACGAAGCTGTTTTTTAGCGGTGATTTCTCAGCCCTCAGAGCACGATGGGGCCTGGCCGGTGCCTCTTTGAACTGATGTGAGAGCCTCCAGTCCAAGCACTGGGTTCCCAGGTGAAGCAGGTTGTGATCACCATGCACAGGAGTTTTTTTCCCGTGGCAACCTGAGGACAGTAAGAGTCTGCTGTGACAGATATGGGTTCTTCAAAATGCACTGTGGGGTTTTACCTGGACTCAGACCAGTGGGTTAAACACTATCGATAGCTGCCTGCATTCCCACACTGTGAGGTGTTTGCAGTCTTTTATTTCTTGGAGTTCTTTTCTTGCTTGCTTCTGTAAACCTCCAGTGGTTTAATGGTTTATAATGGTTTAATATCCTCGGGGTTGCTTGTTGCTGAGCAGATTCTTGAAATACCAGTGTTTCCCCTCATTTTCTTACAAGTTCAGAACCTTCGCTCTAACTGCTCTTGTTCCAGCTTACCTACCCCTTTCTCTCCCTCCTGCACTGACACCAGGCGCTGCTGGGTTGCTGGGTTGAGTCGGAGAGCATCCCCTCCAGCAGGCCCTGCTGTGCGGTGTGCGGCTCTGCCCTAACCCTGCTCCCAAGGCTGATGCCTGCAGGGCTGGCTGGGAGACTCCAGGATCTGATGGCTCCTGGCACGGAAACTCAGGGGTGAGAGCTTTGTGAGGGAACTACCGAGTATGTGAATTTGCTCCACCTGGACCTAGCTTTCGGCAAGTATTTGGGATGCCAGCAGTTTTCTTGAGTTCATAAAGCGTGTCTGACTGCAGCAGTCACGCTGAAAAAATCCAAAGGTTCTCAGATCTTTACTCAATGCCAGTTTTGAGGCTTTGCTTTGGCCAAGCCGGGCGCTGTTGGCAGGACCCTGCTGGGTGCTGCACCTGGAGGAGCAACCCCTGGCTGGAGCAGGGACCTGAGCAGCTTCCCATCCTCTCCCTTTTGCAGTAACGCAGCACTGACTGCGATAATTAACATAATTACACCCACCCTGAGCTTGATGAGGGGGAGGCAAAAAGCCGCCGCCCAACGTGGGGCTCGAACCCACGACCCTGGGATTAAGAGTCCCATGCTCTACCGACTGAGCTAGCCGGGCGCTGGGGGAGCGCCTCCCGCCACCTGCCCTTCACCGCCGCGCAGGCGCATGCGCACTGCCTCTGCCTGACGTCGCCGCGCCGCCCCTCCCGCCCAGCCTTCCTCCGGGCCGTAGTTTTGGCCAATGGGAGCGCGGCTTGTTGGGCGGTGGGGAGCGTGAGGGGGCTCCATCGGGCTGAGGTGCCGCCATGAGCTCCATCGGCACCGGGGTGAGGGGAGAGGGGGGGGACAGGGATGGGGACCGGGAGGGGGGGGGAGGTGGGAGGCGGCTGCGCGGCCCCGGGGAGGCTGCGAGGGGAGCGGGGAGCGAGGGGACGGGGCTGTGCTGAGTCACGGCTGGGCCCGCGGCTCCCACAGCGGCTGTGGGGCCGGGCCCGGGTTTGGGGCCCTCGGTACCGCGGGGATGGGGAGCGAGAGGCCTGGGGGGGGTGGGGGGGGAAGAGGGGGCTCAGGGCAGAGCTCGGTGCTCTCTGCAGGTACCTGGAAGGGGTGGGGAGCTGGGGGTCGGTCTCTGCTCACAGGTAACCGGTGATGGGACCGGGGAATGGCCTCGAGTTGTGCCAGGGGAGGTTGAGGTGGGAAATGAGGAGACATTTCTGCTCAGAGAGCAGGCAGGCGTTGGGGCGGGTTGCCCAGGGAGGTGGGGGAGTTGCCGTCCCTGGGGGTGTTCAAGGGAAGGTTGCCATGTCCCCCGGTGCTTGGGGACACGGCTCAGTGGTCACATTGGTGGTAGGGGGATGGACCAGATGATCCTGGATGTCTCTTCCAACCCTAATGACTCTGTGATTCCTGCACTGCACTGCATGGAGCAGCCTCCTGATAATACTTAATCCCCACGAATGTCCCACAAGTGTCACTCTTACGTTTTTAAATAGACCTGCTCTGAAAATAACGGGATGCTGTAATAACGCTCTCTTGCTGAGTACCGTGTTTTCTTCCTCAGTATGACCTGTCAGCTTCGACGTTCTCTCCCGATGGCAGAGTGTTTCAAGTTGAATATGCGATGAAAGCTGTGGAGAACAGTAGGTAAGATACCACTGCCTGCATTGCTGCTTGTTGGATGGTCGTTATTAAAGCGATGTAATTGGATTAGCCAAGCGTGATAGCATTGCAGATGGAACTAATTTTAATGTCATTTTAAGCAACAATGTCCTTAGCTTCGTTTTACAAGGCATCCAATTAGGCATAAAAGTAGAATAACAGCTTCTGCTTGCTTTGCAGTTTGGTAGGAGTGGGTATCTTGTGCAGAATGCAAAAGAAGACAGTAAAATTGCTCATCTGTGTTAAGGCAATAAAATCCTATGCTTTGGGGCAAAATCTGGATGCAAACTGAGTCACTGAAAGCCTGATGTGCTCAAAGCCTCATTAATTTTTGATGCCTTCTTTGCATTCATCAAGAACTTGAGGACATCCAAGTTCTCTGAAAGCTACTTCAGCTTCTCTGGGAGCGTCTGTCTTCCTTCAAGTACATGCAAGGGAAAGCTGTGAGGCAAAAACCCCAACTGCGAGGTAGCAACAAGAAGCTGATGGATTAGCGAGGCATGGGCTGGATCACCCGAGTGCTAAATAAGGATCAGTGAAACGTTTGTGTGGGGACTTGTCAGCCAGCTCTACCTTCCTCTGAGGAAATATTGATGTGCTTAGTCTGCTGTTTTCCCCCTCCTCCCCCTTGTTGTCTTCGGTTGTGGGGTTGTAACAGATCTACTTCTGTGGAAATTATGTTGTAGTTTTAGTATTTTGTGAATTCATTACTAGTTACACTACAGTTTAGTTCTGTGTGAGAGACTTCCATTTCTCTTGTCTTTCAGTACAGCAATTGGGATAAGATGCAAGGATGGCGTCGTCTTTGGAGTAGAGAAACTGGTTCTGTCCAAGCTGTACGAGGAGGGTTCCAATAAACGTCTCTTCAATGTTGACCGACACGTTGGAATGGTGAGTTACAGTTTAATTTCTCATAATCAGAAAGGGACTTCCTGCTCAAAAGGAGAAATAGATACACCTGATAATCACTAATGAAGATATTAAGTTATGCTAAGATTTGTGTCTACATAAAAATGCTATAGAGTTTTTGACTATTTTCCTGTAATTTATTCTTGATTGCACACACAAAGTTCTAAACGTAAAATAGAAAACGTACATGTTTTGAGGCTGTTAAAAATTTCTTGGAAGTTTTTTTCAGCAGTCCAGTTGCTCAAACTTGAATATGAACATAAATCTGTTTCTTTTATGTAGTAAAGAAAAGAGGTGTGTTAAAAGGGAAAATACTGCAATAGCACTTGAGTGCAGGATTCTTTTCCTTCTTAATGGTCTGAGAGTCAGCTGAATTTTGTCAAGGCTGACATCGATTACTGGCTAATCTTTACCAGTGATGTCAGGATGACACCAGGTAGTGGCTGCTGGGTGACAAAAATACACGAAGCTGTATTTACTGGTGATGTAGCTGTATTTACTGGTGATGTCACTGGTATCGTGGAGAGAACTGGATTTTTTTCTAATCTAGGCTGTTACACAAAACAGGGGCAAAAAAAAAGGACATTGCTATGGATGTCTTGTGAAGTGTTATATGAAGTATTACACCAAACTATATGTCATGTATAATACGTGACATGTTCGCAGTTAATACTCATGTTATGAATACTTTGTATGAAATATGAATATCAATATCAATACTTCATATGAAATATGAAATATTGCTTGGATTAATATAGTCCTGGCAAATCAGAAGACACTACTTAAAATGAAGATAATTTTAGTTATTAATTTTTCCTAGAGAAAAATTCTATACTGTGTTAATATCTAATCATCTTGATGTGTCTTGATTGAACTCACCTGTAATAACTCTTATGTAGAATTCAGTAAAGATCTTAGTTAAGTCATGTGATTAGACTTCTCAGAAGTTTTCTGTAAGAAACGTTTGGACTAGCTGATGGGCATTTTCATTTCAGGCAGTAGCAGGACTTCTGGCCGATGCTCGCTCTTTGGCAGACATAGCCAGAGAAGAGGCTTCCAACTTTAGATCTAACTACGGCTATGATATCCCACTGAAGGTAAGAAATGGGCACAGCTTGTGTAGGGTTCTTTGTTTTCATAGTCTTGACTCTAAGAATTAAATTCTACTACTTGAGGCTTGCTTACTCCTTCAAATAAAGACGTTAATTTTTGTTTCCATTTAGCATCTTGCAGACAGAGTGGCCATGTACGTGCACGCATACACTCTGTACAGCGCTGTCAGACCTTTCGGTTGCAGGTAAGTCTTTTGAAAATGTTTGTAAGGATCTTGTTTCACACCTGCTGGAACTAGTTAGACCAGCTGAAGTCTTTTTCAAACTTGGTGTCAGTAACGTAGGAGTCATTTTGTAAACAGATCCCTCCTTTTTTGTATGTGTGGAAAAATTTATAGGATAAAATTCATGTTTGCATGAGGGAACACCAAGCATCTAGGTGGATCACTTGCCTGCCCCTCAGTTTTAAAGCTGAGGCAGTTTAAAGATTTAAATCTGGGGCAGTCCTGAAAGCAGAACTTTCCTCTGTGATCATCCTGCTTACCCTCAGAGATAAATAAGAGGTTAGAGCTGCCATGCAGCTACAGCACAAAAGGACTAATAGGCTGAGATCTAGTTACAGATCAAGTAAAATGTTTCTTGCAAATTGCACACGCTTTGGTGTCGTGATCACACTAAGCCATTCACTTAATAGAATGGAGCAGAACAGAAGGAGTTAGGCACCAAGAAGAATGTAGAAAACCTGGTTTAGTCTTCATAGTTGTGTGCGTTGCTAGAATAAATGTCTCTAATTTCCCTCTTTTCTCAATCAGTTTCATGTTGGGGTCCTATGATAACGATGATGGTGCACAGCTGTACATGATTGATCCATCGGGAGTTTCATACGTGAGTATGTCAGAAATATTTCCATCTTAGTGTAAGTTCCCCCTTTAAAAGCTCCTAATTTGGAAACCAGTAAGTGCCATTCCAGAAGTGCTCTTAATTGTTGCTCTCTTCCCCTGGGAAGATCTCCAGTGGATCGCTGCCTAAGAGGAACAGAGCTGTTGTTTTTTTTTCTTTTGCATGCCTTTGTTAAACAGACATTGTCTATTTATTGGAAGTAGCGCAGTCTCCATGAAACTCATTTTTTAAAGCTTGTCTCTCAGAAATTTGGTAGCTCATTCTACCTGGTTATATCCAATGAAAATCCCCACACGTTACCCCAAAAACATGAGTATGGTAGTGATGCCCCGTTCACAAAATCCTTTGTGTATGAGAGGTTTAGATAAATGAGGGCTGCTGCTCTGATGCTGGCTGCTAACAGCAAGTCAAATCAAAATGGGTACTTCTCTTTGTCTCTTCAGCCTTGTGTTACACACAGGATGGTACTTCTTTTTTTTTTAATTTCAATATGTCTAATACTGTAACTCTTGAGAGGAACAAAAGTGCTCAATTTTACGTGCTTACACTTCAATGTATTTTCATGGTAGGTGGGGTTTTTGTGTTTGATTTCCCCCCCCACACACACACACCCCGTGGAACTTCTCTAGTTTGCTTTTCTTTTTGTTTTTAATTACAGTAGATGATCTGTTGCAATAAATTGAACAGACATGTTTCTGCCCAGAGCAACTACTGAGCACTTTTCTGTCAATGGTGGCAGCATTTAATCTAGTAATTGGATTCTGTTCTCCAGTTTAGGAATTTTACTTGAAACAGAATACCAAGGTTTACCGTGTATTTGCCTTATTATTATGGGAGTGTGGGGTATGGGGGGTACATATGTAATGGTAAGAACGGTAGAGAACTGTGTAATATTTAACTAAACTTTTTGTTTTGTTTTGTTTTTTCTTCAGGGTTATTGGGGGTGTGCCATTGGTAAAGCCAGGCAGGCTGCGAAAACAGAGATTGAAAAACTTCAGGTATGATGTTCTAGTCCTATTCTGTCGTTTCAAGGCAAATATTACTACCTTATTACTTTTTTGGATGCCTAACATATGCAGGATACAAGAGAAGCAGAAGAGATGTCTTGTAGATCGTTTTGGCCAATTATAATATTTCTGAAGTCTAGCCCCTGGGCAATGGGTAGTCCATAGGGAGTCCACATTTTTTAAATAGGAAGCATGACCATACACTGCCATGCATGCCAGCAAACACTCGTTCATATAAAAACACAATAAAGTTTTTTAGTTGTGAATGAAAGCCTTAGGGCAGCATTGTACAGGGTGGTGTATCTATTTTTTTCCCAAAGGTTTTAGATGATCTTTTTCTTTAAAAAGTTGAAAAAAGCTGGTCTCGTTAAGGACAGTGAGTGAAACTGCAGAATACTGAGTGACCACTGGAATATTATGACTTGAAAATGTTAATGGAGAAAAAGAAAATCCTTGCCAGCTAAGACAGTGTTTCCCAGCTAGCTGATGTTGACGTACTGTCTCTTCTCCCCTTCTGTTTTTTCTCCTTTTCTTCCTTTTTCTTCTCCTTTCCTCTAGCTGCTTGTTGTTTCTGACTGTAATACACTCCCCAAAACATCTGTTATATCTGGTGAAGAGGACTTGAGTGCTGTGAATGCTAGAGGGAATAAACTATGTGGCATGCTGTCACGGACAACAAAAAGGGCAGTTTCTGTTCAGCATTTCTTGCTTGTGCAATACTGTAATTAATTTTGTGAAGTGCTGCAAGAAAGTTCTGTGGATGCACGCTGAGAAGCTGTTTCATAGCCTTCTGAATGAGCGTGTAGACAGTTAGCTATGTGAAACTGGTCCATGGAGAGAAGCTGACCGAAATGTATCAGTGTGCCTTAAGCTGACTTAGAGTTAGGTTGGAACCCTGGAAGACTTCTGTCCTCTTGGGTTGTAGTATTTGAATCGCTTGGAACCAGGGACAGCATGGGGCAGCTCTGCTCTTGGCCTGTTTGCTGTAATTCTTATTCTTACTGTAATTTTTGAGTGTTATTTATAGTTTTGATCTACAAAAGTACATTACAGCTGTTCATTGAAAAATTCAAGTTCATCTGGTTGTCACACTCTTAAGAATAGTCCATTTCTGATGGTGCAGCATCATATCTGAAAAATTACAGGAAAATTGAAAATATTCTTAGACACAATTCATTCAGTCTTGGATGTGGACAGGTGCTTGAACACCAAATTAAATGTTGGAGTCCTATAAGATGATCTGATCTTGATACTGGAATCATGGCATCTGAGAAGTCATTATTTCAATTTCCACATGTGCAAACTGACATAAAGATAATATGCTGAGTAATAGATAATTTACCAAAAAAATTTCTCTGCAGTGCTGGGATTTTCAAAACCTTTATTGCTTTATATTTGTGCAGCTAATTAGTGTTTCCTATGAAGTGTAGTATAAGGAAGAGTGGTGTGCCACACAGCACAACTGCGTTGATTTATTCAGTGGCTTGTTTGCAGAATGCCTTCAGTAAGGTGTATGATCCCGTCAGAGCAGTGTGAACCAAGCGCAGTCTTGCATGCTGATGCTTTTTGTTAACTGTAAACTGGGCAGGTTCCCAGGGCAGAGTTAATTTTGCTAAGATGAATTTCTGATTGAATGACAAAACTGAAGTGGGAAGACAGATGCGCACAAGCTTTTGTGGGGTGATTTGCCTATTGACTAAGACTCTCACCCATGGAAGAAATGACTACAGGTGGGAAGTTAGAGGCACGCATGTAGGCATAACCTTAAAACCTGCCTTACAGGTACTGTGGAGCAAAGGCTGTATCTGGGAGGGGACGTAGCATGCGAAACCCTCGTGTACAGCTTACACTGCAAGTGAAAAACACTGCAGGGATCACACCTATTGCGTGTTACGCAAGCGCTTCCTATCTTCAGCTGCAGGAAAACTTGTGATCACATGGAGAGGATTTGAATCTTTTCATCTCTTCTACAGTGCTTCTCACACATCTCCAGATACTATTTAAAATCTTTTAGTATATAGACATAATTGTAATTAACCCCTGTGATAAACCATTATGGTGTTTCCTATTGTTGTCTGTAGAGTTAATATTATCTTGGGTGGGAAAAGGATCATGGCAAAAGATAAACTGAACCTCCAAGTTTTGACTTGTAAACGTGCATGATGGTAACAGACCTTTGGGTTTTTCTGATTCACTGCCAAGTTCATACGCATAAACGCACATGGCCATTTAAATGTTCGTGTGACACAAATTGTACTTGTAAATAGCAGAGTGTCAGCGGCTGTGTTACGGATTGAGTGTCACAGGCGTAAGGGCTGGCACGATGGCTCTCTGTTTAGGAAACTTCTTGGAATGCAAATATGATGGCACGTCCGTCTGACCAGGCATGTTCCTTTTTCCCTGCCCGTTGCTTACTCAGGCATGTGCTTTACCCCTAGAAAGTGCAGTGAGCCTCAACGTGAACACAGGACTGTTGTCATCTTAGGTCCTTCACCCATGTCTCAAAACTAACTTCTGTACAGGAGCTTTGGAAACTTTTTGAAAGTCTGACAGAGATGGTAAACTACATAAGTAGTGCGTTTTACTCTGAGCTCAGTGTAAATAATGGGAAAAGACAGAAATAACTTTGAACTTGAAAATCACTTTATGCTAGGGAAAGTGTCAGTCAAATGTGTAACAAATTGGTCCATATCCTGTGTCTGAGGGCCCATCGGTCTCAATTAAAAACACCAGGTACGTTTTTGTGATAGATCAAAAGCTGATGTTTATTTGGTTGGTGCAAATGAAACATTGAGAAAGGAAGTAAGATTAATCTTGTTTCAAACTTGCAGTAATGAAATACGGTGGTCCAAAGAGTTGACTGGCAAGAGATTTGATCTGCAAAATACGAGTTTGTCACAGAAATTGGGATGAGACTTTGTTCTGATTAACTGTGAAGCTGTCAGAAGACTGAGAGGTAGCAGTGAAAAAATACAAAATGAGTTGCTGATACCTTGCTCAGCCATGCAGTTGGTTGTTAACACCCTACCAGTATTCCCCTCTTTGGGCATCACTTACAAGTCAGACTTGCTTGCAACAGTATGTTGGTAAGAGCTAAAGTATTAGTGTGCTACCTAGAAAGAGTATGGATGTTGTATGTGAAAATACAGTGCCTCCTCCATACTGTACGTGTGGGTATTTTACGGTAGTTTATCAGAAAGCATCTGAGACAAGCTTTGATGTTACAGGTAGCTGTTCAGTTTCTAAGCTTCCAGAGGGTAAGTACTTTAAAGTGGGGAGTCTTTCACGCTCACGTTTTATTTAAGAAACATTCAAGTATAAAATTATTCACTGGAAGAATGGCTTACATGTAGTAGGTTGAACAAAAGTGAAAGATACACTTGTAGAGAATAACAGCAAGCTCATTAGGTACATGCACACCCATTTTTTGGTCTTGTGGAAATGAAAACTGGACATTCTCTTAAGTTGTTTATTTTTTTGCCCACAGATGAAGGAAATGACCTGCCGTGATGTTGTTAAAGAGGTTGCGAAAATGTAAGTCTCCAACCTGTTTTTCGAAGTTGACAAAAATTGGTACTGCTGAACTTGCTACAGTTTCAAACTGAGACTGTTCCTTTTAAATGTGGTACCAGGTTTCACTTCTCTTAGATGCATGCTCACATTGACTCTAGTGTATTACTATTTTTCCTCTTGTGAAGTGGGACATGCTACCCAAATACTGCAAAATGACAAAGGATGCAAAAAATATGCTTATCTCCTCTGCTACTCATTATAGGTGCAGTTTTGTAGCAGCAGTGGGTTAAAGCTTAAACTGTCTGAACATAGTCACTGGTTTTAAAATACATAAACCAAGTGACAGGTGGGAGAAACTCAGTGTCCTGGTCCTGAAGAGGTGCATACTGTGTTGTGCAGGTTGTTCAATCACCTGGGGCTTCAGACATGAAGTAGCAGGCCGAAAATGAAGCTGAGGTCTCTGACGTAGCCTTCTTATTTTCCTAAAAGATTCAAGCGCTTGCAAAAGAAACACGGTAAACTCCTTGTTTAAAGAGGTATACAGGGTATAGCTGTTCTCATTTCACTGATTAGGTTTGTACCAAATGACGATGTGGGAAATACTGGATTTGCTAACCTACTGGGCAGTTTGTTTACTGATGCAATTTAAGATGATGCATCAGTGACCTCATCACCTGAACTTGCTAATGCCATTCCACGAACTCAGAGTATAGCATGCTGAGTGAGTGTGATTTGCACCATGCCATACTAGTAAGGGGAGAAAAGAGACCAGGAAGACTTGTGCTAGATAGAGCATGAATTGGCCAGTAGTAATCTTGAAAATACTTTGTGAATTTATCATTTTCAAACAAATACAAGTATCCCTCAGCTACCTACAACACTTAATGTTTTCCAGAGACATGTCTGTGCTTGTCACATCTGATACTGATCTCAGGCATTTTATGGCTATTACTTAGAAGGTTATAAGGAAGGAACAAATGTTTCCAACGTTTGTGTTGCAGCCTGAGAGTTTATTGCAGTTTATGTCAGAGGCCATCGTGGTAGCAGCGAAAGGAAAGAATGTGTGGACTCTTCTTGAAGCCTAACAAGGATTGATTCTAAAACTGTACAAAAGAGGCACAGATTTTCAAGTGCTCAGAAGCCTTCTGTTCTTTAATTCAGCCTCAGCTCAAAACTTAACAGCAATTCTAGGTACAGTTCAGTTTTCTTCTAGCTTAAAGCTAGTCCCTAGTAGCATTTAGCAAGATACCAAACAATTTAATCATTTTTTTAAATCCTAAAGTACTTGCCAGAGTCTAAAGTAATGATTTCTTCAAGAGCTCATGGTAGTACACTTTATTGCATAAAGCTTGTAAGCAGTGTAACACCTAAGAAAGGGGTGTAGGTGAATCATGTAGGTTATCATTAAGTGCAGTCTGACAGCGACACAAGGGTGTCAAGAAGGTAAGCATATAGTATTTCCTTGGACACCCACATTAACTGTGTTCTCCTATATATTTGTTTCACAATACTTTTATCAAACTTTAATTAGAAGTAGTTATTGTGTCACTGGAGGTATCCTTACTTCTTCCCTTGTCTCCCAGCTTTCTATGATGATAGAAATAGCTAGTATCATTCAGCTTTTGGCTTCATGCTTTCTGAAACAAGCTAAGGAGCACTGCTTTCTCAACAAACAAAGCCTGAAGATAGCATTTGCTGTAAGCATGATAGTCAGGATCGAGAGCTCAATGTACAGGTTGCTAATTAGATACAAGATATGATGATGTTCAGATTTAGTCTTGTGTGTAAACTGAAGTAAGATTTACAGGAGAATTATATGATGCTGCTGGGACTGATCCAGCAGGAACAAACAATGCTGCCATGGTTCTGCAGTATCTGAATTCTAAATATCACTTTCTATAAAGGGCCTGCTGTCCTGTTTAAGATAACTTAAGCATCTCAACTAGATAAATTAATACAGCTAAAATGCACGTTATTTAACATCCTGTTATACTAACAGCCCTAGAATATTCTCTGATGTGCTCTTGTTTTTGTGGGGGATACATATAAGGGAAGGGTGAGGGAGAAAGCAGAGCGTGTATTAACTGTAAGAACAGTATTTCAACAAAACAAGAAGTCTGTGAAAGGAGGAGAGTATATTTGACCTGTTGACAAATCTGTTCTAATATATACTTCTTTACAGAATCTACATAGTTCACGATGAAGTTAAAGATAAAGCTTTTGAGTTGGAACTCAGCTGGGTTGGAGAAGGTAACGGATTTCTAAACTTCTATAAACACTAAAGAAAACTAAGTTCCTGTAACTGAAGTAAAATATTTGCTTCTTAACTTCTTTCTGTGCATCAAGGTCTCTATATGAATTCTGCTTCAAATGCACCTCTTTTTATTTGCAGTAACCGGTGGAAAACATGAAATTGTTCCCAAAGACATAAGGGAAGAAGCAGAGAAGTACGCCAAGGTAAGATCCAACATCATTGTTGTCATCTCAGGGTTCCACTAGCCAAAGCTGGAATGGAATCAATCCACAGTAGGATTCCAGCATTGTGATGGCTGGAAAATGTAGAGTCACACATCACTTACGTAGTAGCTGATATTCTGAAGAGAATTGAGACTTTTGCAGTCTAATCTAGAGAATTTTTTTAAAAACTATACTTCAGGAGGCTTGCACAGTTATTTCTCTTTCAGAAGTAAATATATTCCTCTTCAATAATGGCATGAGTAGGAAAGGTAAAGGTACTGCAGTCAATGTGACTTATTAAAAGACAAGCAGCTGGAGAAAGCTAGCCCTCCAGCATTTAACAGCTTTATATTTGTTCTAAAAGTGGTAATGGTGCTCAGTGTTAAACTCCTAAAAATAGGAACTAGCCTGCTGAATACCAACCTTTGTACAGATTGAGAGGATTGTAAAGCAACAGCACAACTCCCTTTGCTTATTCCAGGCAAGCTGTAGAACAGCCATTAAACTATTCTTTTCATCAATTTGTTTTAAATAGGAATCTTTGAAAGAGGAAGATGAATCAGACGATGACAATATGTAACACATTGTTACTTCAAGACAAGTTCAACTTTTTTTTTTTAAACTTAGTACAAGTTTGTTTATAATGTATTAAGTACGGGATGCTACTATGTACTTGCTGAAAAAACTGAGTGACCAACTTGCACTAATAAATTTTCCATTTTACTGTCTGCTAGCTGTTACTTCAATACAGTATAGGTCAGTGTTATCAAGAGGCAACTGTATTCCAAACTGTACAGTACTTCAAAACAGCCACTAGAAGGAAAGATGTTATCAGATGTTGCTTCCTCTTACTTCGAAGTATTGAGCTAGGCTAGGTACTGAAAAAGTCATCTGCTTAGAAATACAATGAGTCTCCTGCTTACATTACCTAGTTTAGTAAACAGCAGAACTTAGTTAATCCTGCAAATCATGATCTTGGTTAATCAAGTTCATCTGTCACCACAGTCCCTGATTCTGCTTGGCAGGAGACAACATACCTAGCTGTAAAAAAAAAAAAAAAGCTGGCTGCCAGTTTTAGTGATATACACAGCTGACAACTTCAAACAGCCTGTGTAACAACCAGAAACGCAGGGGGAGAAAAAGCTTTAATCTGAAGTGTTAAGACCACACTAGGAAAAATGAACGTGAAGCACTTGAACACCAGTGCTTGTGTTAAACTGTAAGGCTGAGATCTACTAAGCTGTATAACTGGAATAAATAAAAAATAAAGTTCAGTTCAAGTATTCACAGCTTTATTCTGCTGTGGTTTCCTAAATCAGTTCTGAAGCAGTAGTTAACTTTCCCAGGAGCTGAAACCAAGCTTTCCTGCCCATTTCCCACCCCCCTCTTCTTTCCTAGAAAAAGGGGCAGTATCTAGTCTAGTCATTTCAGTCTTGAAAATGAAGGCCTATTCACTACTTTTAAAGTCTAAATGCAAGTCTTACACATTGAATTAAAATTCAAAGGTCATGTTTAATCTAAAATGCACACTTTGCTAATAAATCAAACGCCTCAGCTTCAGTACTACATATTAATAATGACAAGTTCATTGAAAAGTTTCCTCCTAGTTGTTTCTATCTTTGTGCGTCTGCTTTCTCTTTTCTAAAGGAATTACAGGATACAGGTAGTTTCTTTTTTTTGGCAAGGGAAAGAAAATGGAGATAGATGGGTCTGCATCAGTGCAGAATGACCATCTCAGCTTATGCCTTTGCTGCAGTCAAGCTGCATGAACTTTTGCTTCTGCCAGGCACTGCTTTCAAACTCTGCTAGAACTGTCAGGCCTCCCTGCACAGACATGAATGATGAGCATGATGGATAGCTTCAGTCAGCATTGTCTCCTGAGGCAACAGTGCAGTTGTTACACTGAGTCAGGGCTTCATTCTGTATTGCATTCAGCTGGAATTTACTACTGAAGCTTACTGCTGATTCAGCTCTTTGAGTCAGTGAGAGCCAGTTAGGGAACTAATCAGCAGTCTAAAGCATTTGCTGAGGGCTGAGCTTCCACTCACCATATGTAACAGGACTCCTTGATTCTCTTCAGGCTGTCTTTATTCTGCACCTGAAGTATTGCTGAAGGGAAATTAAAAGCCATCCTTATGTGGCTACAGGTTTCACCATGTAAAGATACAGGCAAGAACATAGCTGCCTCCTTTCTTGATACTTATCAGAGAACAGAAGTTCCTTTGACAAAGCATGCTCTGGTTTGTTGCTTGTTGTGCAGAAAAGCCCAATGAGAAGCGATTTAAGAGCTTACATGTTTCCAGTGAACTTACCTGTCATGGCAACATTCAGTTAAACAATTCCAAGCTGAGTGTTACCGTCAGGTTTTAAGTTATCACAGAGAACTGACCTTCAGCTCTAGCAAGGAAAAAAGCCACTCCTCTTATTTTTATTGGCCCCAGATGGGGAAAGATAAAGAAGGCAAGAATTAGAAGGATCTTTTCTGGGGAAGTATATTAGCATTTATTCAGAAGCAGTAAAAATCAGAAGTAATTACTGAACACACTGTTTTAGTAATACAATTTTCCGTAACATTTAAAAGGACAACAGGAGAAACCCAGTAGGCTTCCAATGTATTAAGAATTGCTACCTTTGAGCAATAAGACTTGTGGAACTTCACAACTCATTTCTAGGCTAGAAGGATCCTCATTTCAGCAGAAAAACTGCTGCAAACTCATTACAGCTACTGTTGTAGCCTTCACCTAGCTGCAAAAGTGCCCGCTGGGATAGCCAGTGAGACAACACTGCACTTTAATACCTTATTAATTTGAAGCATGTTACTTAAGAACACAATTATATACATTTGTGCAGTATCACTTTTCACTAATTTAGTTTACAGCTGATAGGCTAAATGCCAGCCTTCGTGGATTCTGCTACTAAGAATTAGTGTTGTTGCTGTGTCAAACAGTAAGTTGAGCAGAGGAAGAAGTCTTCCAAGAGAAGGAAATTGCAACACCAACTACATAAAAACTTGCAAGTGCTGTAGGACAGCACAGCATTGTTAAACTTTGATTAAATGAAGACCAGGTCTTATTTCTAAACATACAGAGCTGAGGCAAATCATTTGGTTGGAGCTAAGCTTGAGAAGGGCTAAAACTAGATCCAAGATCATCACATACACAAGGATTTGTTACAGAAATAAATTTGTTACAGTAAAAAAATCTGTAACAAATTTATTAAAGAAAAAGAGAGAGGAGTATAAAAATCTCAACAGGAAAAAAACTTCCCTTTAGTAGGGGCCATTTCTTAAATACAGGCCTGGAAAAAACAAATATCTGGCTGTGTTATAGATATTCAATGAGAGGCCTGGAAATGGTTGATTTTGTGTGCAATGCAAAAGTACACTGCAAAGCTAACAAACGCGTCCTTGGTAAGGTAAATTTCTGAATCACAGGCTTAATTAAGCAAGAGGTGATTCTTAGCACTCATTTTGAATGTTTCTGCCAGGAGTACTGGGAAGTTTCAGTTCTGAATTTAGCAGAACAGCCTAATTAGCCCACACCATGGCAGCATTTCTTGCTGCGGGCTTAACAAGTAACCTTCTTGGTCTGGGCTCTGGCCATTTATGGGAATACATAATAGAGCAGAAAGTCAGATACGCACTTGGAATGCATAACTGTAGTTCTTGCCATGCTGGAACACAACTTCAGAGTATTCATGGCAAATACTGTTGCTCGAGACCCAAAGCACATGCCCTAAGAGCACAACAGAAAAGAGACTGTACAGAGCAACTCATCTCTTAGCTTAAAGTCATCCTTCCACCACGTTTAAGAAATACATAGATCTAGCAATGAACAAGAACGGATGTACAGTATAGCGCTTCCTCTCACGTCTCACACACCCACTGATAGTTACTCAGCACCTGATGAATCACTGCTCTGATATTTAGTACAACTGGGTACGTCACATTCCCTGTTACAATCGGTTAGTCAGCGAGTCCACGTACAGAGGCCTTGCTTGAGGAAATTCAGGGGACTGCAGGTGACAAGTTTAGAAGTAATCCATCCAGTTTACATTTATCCCCATGACTGCACCAAAACAGATTTTAGATATGCAAATTCACTTGCAGTGTTCAAAAATCAGATCTAAACTGTACCATCAGGGTAATCAAATTTCAGTTTTGTACTGATTTACATAGCAATAAAAAAATGTTTTGGGTAATATCTTCATTAAAACTGACTGGTATTACTGATTAAAGCAAGGTAAGATTGAGCTGTTTGAACATCTCAGACATAACCCATCCATAAAATCCAGGTTGGCAGATAGATATACATGAGGATATCTCCCTAATACCTCTTACTACGCCATAGTTGGTGTTGACTCAGAAGAAAAGCACTTGAAACAATTAATTCCATGCGGATCTGGAGCGTGCCAAGCATCAGGTCGTTTGTTACTTCTCATAACCAAAAATAGCATGATGGCCTAAGGTTAAAAGTCCCCCACGCTGCAAGTTACTGACACAGTAACGCTTGAGATGCTATTTGGCTCTGCAGTCCAAGTCACCCTTAAGGAAGGAGCTTTGGTCTAACTACACAGGTGATACTGCAAGTCTCCTCCTTAAGACAGAACTGTAACAATATGACAGAACACAAAACAATGATTTCCACAACATAGCTTAAGCATTTATCAGCGGGAGGGCAAAATAATGTATATTATTTTGCAATCACCCAAATCATGCAAAACTTCAAGATACTGAAGAGAAAAATAGCTGTAGTTGTCATGACAATTTTGAGGCTGTACCACCACCAAAAATTCAGTAAGGAGTGTTCTCTCCCCCTTGCTTCCTTCTTTCAGTTGTCTCCAAGACAAGGACTAGTTTTTCCTCCACCCACCAGTTTTTCAAGTTACGTACAGCAAGGAAGTTACTTTTACCTACAAATTGGGAGCTATTTTGAGACATTAACTGCTCCCAACTTTCCATATTAGATGATCATCTATTTATGCCCAATTACAGAGCTGCAGAAACCACGCTGCAGAAGAGGTAGGGGTGTAGCCTTGCTGTCTATCCAATAAATACATGTTAGTATTTGAGAACACCAGACCTACAACCGAGTTCAAACCAAGTCTCCCATTTCCAGGAGGGCTAAACCACCATGCAGTGCTCTTCATCTTCAGTACGCTGCTATTAAAGGACTCTGAAACAGTTGTTTAAAAACGGTTCTTACAAATTGCTGTGCCAACCAAAAATGGACAACTAGAATAAAGCAGGCAGCAGCAAGGCATAGTTTATAGTCCAAACATGTGCATATAATCAGATACAGAAGAAAAAAAGGAATCCCCTGAAGTTTCCCCTAAAGACAATTTAAGAACTACCCACCAAAAAAAAGCCAAAAAACACACATTTTGGTTGACACAAGACAAGACAAGTAAAAATTCAGAAAAAAAGTTTTGTTTATTGTTGTGTAAATATAGACATCATTTGATAGAACATGTATAGCCTGCAAGCCCCAGCTGCATGCATTCAGAGTAACTTTCACTTTCAGCAACAGATCGCTAATGTCCCCATGGGAGGGTGGAATCAGCTCATACTTAAGATCCCTTCCAACCCAAACCATTTTATTACCTAAGGGTAGGTTAACTTAACAGTGAGTTCACCCAGAAGCCAATACATTCTGAACACACACACACACCAAAAGCAATGGTTAAATTAACACCAGGAAGCTTTTTAAAGTTTTGTTTGCAGAGCTTTCAAAAAAGCAGGAATCCGCTGCGTTCATTGTTTGGGGGTAGGAAGGAGACTACATTAACAGGTTCCAACAGCAGCAGAGGAAGTGCGAGGTGACTTTTAACAGCATGCTTACATAAAGCTCAGTCTCAGCTCTCATTCCATGCATTTCCACACTAAAAAGATCACCACTTTAGGAAGCGTTTTTTCCCCCATGCCCATTTCTCAATACATCAGGAATAGAAGAAATCTGAAATACTGACTCAGGAAGCTGGATGAAAGCATAGCTTGATTTGTTTCCAGTAGGAAAGTCAGTTGAACAAGCAACCATTTCACCCAGCCAAATGCTCCTTTCTATTCTCACACCAGTTTGTACCCATTTTGCTGCTCGCAAGGAGGAGGCCACTACCACACTAATAAGACACATTTCATTGACCCAAAATAATTATACTCACAAGAAGTCACAAATTCTGTTCCTTTACAGTTCTGTAACTCAACACAACACAGCTCATTTCAGCAGTTCTGTTTACACTGTGCTGGTTTTAACTAATGGGGTGGCAGCATGCATAGCAGAACTGCAGCTCCTGACAGGAGAAAGCTTACCCCTGCAGGTACCAGCCTCCTGCAAACAGTGTGATCTTGCAATTAATTCACAGCTTAACTGTGCTAACACAGTGCTGGCTGGTCAGCTAATTCCCTCACCACTTGGAAATTAACTACCACTAATAATATCCTTCAAGCAAAATACACAAAAGGAAAGAGTAGCTTTGGAAAAAAGGCCTAAGCAGGAGGAAAATCAGAAGGTAATCACTGGCCAAAGCGATTCTCACTAACAGCGGCTACTTACAGCTAATAACATTTAATTCAAAAGACTGAGGGCATTAATGCTTTTAGAAAAGAATCAATACTGACGAACTGCACTCTTGTTAGCTGAGGCTGAAAAGTAAATTAACCAGAAGTGATTAAACTAATTTGGACAAGTAAAAGCCCTAGAAGAAAGGGCATAACTACTGCCCTCACAGGCTTTCTTTTGCTGAATATCCCTGCTTGCACAAGTAGTTTTGCTTCTTTCTGCTGGGCTGAATACTAATAGTGGCATACGCATTGCTTTCTGGAACAGTGACAAGGAAAGAGCGTGCAGCCCTAGCCCTGAGCCAGCTGGGTGATGGTGCTCGACACCCTGCATCTGAAAATCCCCCCATTTAGTCAACAGGCTTGGGGGGGACACCTGTGCGGGTGGGTAGACCATGTCTGAGGACTCACCTTCAGTATTAGAACAGTATTTTCTTCCTCTGCAAGTATGGAAACATGTCTTAGTAAAAATCCAAACAAGGCAAGAAAAAGCCTGTGCATGTGAAAACACAGCTTTTAAGTTTTATTTCCTCTCATACTTCTTAAGTGAGTCCTTCTGCAGAAGGAAAAAAAGCCTGTCAGGATATAAACTGGCAACAGGTAGCATGAGCAAGGAGGACTCCTACTTCAGATTGGCTGTGACAAATCACTCTGAAAATTACTTTGAGAACAAAAAACCAACACTGTCCTCAATATTCTAACACAGATATTGAGAAAATAATTCAGCTGGAGTTACTTCTCTTTACGGAAAGAAAAAGAACTGATTTTAGCTCTCCAACTTCAGCATCAGTCAACATCTTAGATACGAACAATATGAGCAACAGACATCCATTCAGTGTATGTTTGCTCCCAATTTGGTTTCACCAAAAGCTGAAGAAGTGAATCCATAGTTGCTCCCAAGCAGGTACCAGAAGTTCACTACTTGAGGAGGAGTATAATCTACCAGAAATTTAACTTATTTGGAAGATTGCAGTAAGATTATTCAAACACAGCATGCAACCTAATTTAATTGTTAAAGTTTAAATTATGTAACTACAACTCCCCAAAGCAATTTTTGCATTCAAGTTTCACCCTGGATGTTTGATTTAGATGGGAAGCTACTCAAGCTCTACTATTTATAAACAAGACTTGATTCTGTTAGGAAGTATTAGTGTTAGCAGTATCTAGAGTTTCACATGCAAGTTTAATAAATTTTCAACTTGAGTTTATTTCAGGAACACTAAAACCGTATTTGCTCTGTAGACTAGTGACTGACTATATTTACAGAGAATAACTCTTCCAATACCATAGAAAATGTCTCTTCTCACTTTGAAAGATCAGAAATTGCTCAGGTAAACTGTTTAGACCAACAATAAAGCCTACACATTGGAAGCCAGGCAAAAAAAAAGCTGCATGCAGTAGATACACTTTGGAAACCAATTAGTTTTATTTAAGTCTGTGCTTGTTAGGTTTACTGTGCTAAAATGGTTGATGCACTGGCCACGTGGATATACACACAGGATACATTTCTAGTACCTAGCTTGTGCAAACAAGTTATATGGAAGGCTGAAACAAAGTTTGATTACACATGAATGACATCTAGATCTAATCTTTCACCTTTACTCCTGGCATTTAAATTACCAGTTAGCCTGTGAAAATGTACGTAGAAATATTCTCCTTCAGCAGCCACGTGAAGTAATGTTACCACTCAGAGCAATAACTGAGCCCATGCTTGATCTCAAGCACTTACTTCAAGTTTTGGAGGACAGACTGATCACTGGGTTCCAGGTGATGGCAACCAAAGCTCTCCGCCACACTGAAACGGCAGCTGCTGCACAAGTCTTCAGCTTCTAGGATGAAAGCAGCAGTTCCATCAGTTGAGAACTCAAACTTCTTCTCTTGGTACTACGCTGCTAATAACAGACCAGCCGATGTGTCACTAGTTTCTGCACACATCTTATAGCACACAGGGCTGTAGTTACGAACTGCAGCCACAAGCACAACAAAGTCTGGATGTAGTTTATTCAGGAAGAGCGTGGCCACTTCTCCCTGGAGATCCCTGAAGCCACTAACAAGATACACTCTGACAAGCTGAGCACGTAGCAGCATTTTACTCCTGTTACTGGAAGGAGAAACTGCAAAGCGAGTACTACAGCTAGGTCAGAGCTAACAGGAAAGCTGACTCGCAGATTTTTTCCCCTCTCCCCTCGTACAAAGTGCTACATTAGAAGTATTTTCATGATTATTCACACCCAGAATTTACTGCACTGGTGCAAAATACACCTCCAACTGGTTCAAGAACCCACTAGTCAGATTTGGGGAATGTAATGCACTAATTCAGGTTGAAGGGTTGCTAAGCTTTCTCCAACACCACTCACAACAAAGTGTTCAAAGCTAGCATGCACACTTCTGTTTGAATAATTGCATATCTATTTTTTTTGAACATGAGAACAGGAAAGTGCCAGTGCTGGGGTAACAAAGCAGTCAGTAATAGTTTATTTATTTTTTAATCTACCTATCTCTATTTATATCTATAAACTTGAAGGAACTTGTTGCTGAGAGCAGTAAAGCACAACTTTTTCCATGAGTAGGAAAGGTCTGACCTTTAATTTTTATGATGCAGCTATTAAGAACTGATCTTTCTGGTGTCATTGCTTTTCTGTGGGGTTTGTTCCTCTCCCTCCCCCCCTTTTTTTCCCCTTATAAAAATACATTAAAGTACTCCAGAACTCCTTGACACACTCTTTTGAGCCAGTTCCAGAGTCAGATAGAGCACACATTTGACCTTCATTCGTGCAGAAATTCAGCAGTTCCACACAGACAGGTTCTGAACCACAAGGCAGATGCTTGCTCAACCACTGCTGGAAAAATATCGCCTATTTACTGGCAGCACAGAAACACCAAGGGGAAGGGCATCTAAAAAAGGAGAACTAAACACTAGAAACAAAAAGTAAAAGAAGCTGGCAGTCCCTGAACATCTGTGAAGTTGAACAAAGTAACATAGCGTTTCATTATATACAGAGAAGCTCAATTTAGAACAAGAATCGGTATTTTTAATACTCTTTAAATGTTTTGGCCGTGATTGTATACATATTCTGACTTTCTAATTATATGTAAATGCAGTACATTGAGAGCAGTGTCTGACTACTGAAGTAATAAGACACCTTACTTATCCCAGAAATCTCTTCTCATTATACTCCCTTTTCCTAAGGAATCCACACTCAAAAAAATATTAAGATGCTACTCATAGTACTAAGGAAATTGCAAGACACAAATTACTGTATTTGCTTTTTCCTACTGAATGCCACATATATGCAAGGCTGAACAACTTCCCTGTGAGTTCTGCAACTACAACACCAAGGAAATTTGAAGTACATTATCTTTTCTAATTTACTTCTAGGACTGAGCCATCAAGACCAGTTATGCATTTAGAGTATCTTGATGCCTCAGTGTTGTTTTGCATGAATTACGAGCAAAACACACCCCCAGAAGGTGATTGTTCTGTCCCACAAGGCCTTTGGTGTTAACAAAGCACACAGAATACAAGTGCCCCTGCTTTGAACAATGATGTTAAATATTTTTATTTCTTTTATCACATCTATTTACAGAGAGATTAGATAAAAACTCCTACTGATTGTTTCATACTGTAACTCAAAAGCAAGTGTTAGCTTTGTAAAGTTAAAGTGGCTCGCACCAGAAAACTGCTGCTCATTTTTTCCACTCCTGTCAACTGTTTCCCTGTAAGAGATCACACGCTGGGGGGAAGGGGCACAACTGCAAGGATACAGTATAGCCAGGCTATATTTAATTCTCAAGGGCTACTTCACACTGACATACTTTTAGATGCAAAACCTCAATATCATAGTCCTGCTCTGAGTTCAGAAGTTCACGTTTCAATGAAAAGTTACTTTAAACCAAAAACAGGAGTTGTCTCCGGTGTGCCAAAAGCACAGCTTTTTCATTCCATTATACCAGACATCATCCCCAAGCTGCGTGTGAATGTTTATGCTCTCTGGTGTGCTGCCTAGCTTGACATTCTGAGGTACTTTAAATGCCATAAAAGAACAAGTCACCTCCTCTGATGACTAACTACATAGGAAAAAAAAGCTTGCTCACAGTAGTTAGATGGATGATGTGCCAAGAGCTTCCTAGGCACGCCAGCTGCAACAGATACACCCAGGTGGACAGAGTTTTTCTGCTAGGAATCAGAAACAAGACTGATTAGTTTTGTCACAAGTTTATTTATTGAGTGGTACTGTACTTAATACAGAGATATAAACCATTGCTCCAAAATCTCACAATTTAAGTCACAATTCAGCTAATACAATCCACAGAGATACTGTAAGTTTACATTCAAAATAAAGTCTCAAAGTTTTTCTACCAGCAGAGTTAAGTTTAATGTATTTTAAAGAATCATCTGCTCTTCAGATTATTCACTGCATCAGCTGGAACCACGCCACAAAAAACAAAATCTCCTCAGCATTAAGAGAAACGCCCCAAACCTTCCTCTAACTTGTACATGACTTCAAGCATCTTTACAACCAAGATCATCACCAGAAATTTAGAGCTATGCTTCTAAAATGTTAGACACAATCTGTAGTTAATTCTAAGCATTCTTTGCATGCATTAACCCTTACTAGAGATTTAGAGCTTACCTGTATTAAGTGGCACTTAAGCTCAGTAGAGAACTGTCTCTTTGCCTGCTGCTTCCTAGAATACCAAATTTAGTTTAAAAATAAAATAATCTTTAAATCAGATCTCACACGAAAGATACAGATAAGCTAACAATCCATTTATTTGGGCATTGGCAAAACAGGCTTTGTAACTACGATAGATGATACTGATAGATGCTATCGCTGCTGCTTTAAATAAGCCTAAGGTACGGATGTAGCTGAAAAAGCTACTGAAATCAGACAGATTTTGGTTAATCTGAGGAAAAATAACGGATCTGCGCTAAACCTGAGCGCAGAGCAGGCTTCACACACAGGGCCAAGACCATTAAAACACGAGCACGGCCGCGTGGAGCTGGTTCCTGTCAGAAACCGGCACCGGGAGCCGCCAGCCTGTGGCGGTGCAGACCTCGGTAACGACGAATTACCCCCTCACACCCCCCCCATCCCCCCCCCCTCAACCGCCCCCTACCTGCAGCCGCCTCACAGCCCGGCGGCCGCCACCAGAGGCAGCACCATCACCACCACCGCCGCTCCCCTTCCCCGGCAGCCTCCCCGCTGCGCCGCCAACCGCCGAGGAGACGCCGAAACCGCTCCGTGACGAGGCCCCGGGGCGCTGAGGGGGCCCCGCGGCCGCCATGTGAGGGCCGAGCCGGGCCCGGCCCCGCGGCGCCGCCGCCTCCCCCCGCCCCGCGGCCGCCTAAAATGGGCAGGAGCCGCGCACAAAATGGCGCCGGCAGCCCCGGCGCCGCTGCGCATGCGCGCCGCGCCGCGCCCGCCGCAGCCTCCCCCCCCCTCCTTCCTTCTTCCCGCCCCGCCCTTCTCCTCGTCCCCCCGCCCCTGCGCGGCTCGCGGAGGCGGCTCCGGCCAATCGCGTCGCGCCGCCGCTGTTCCTCGCCTCCCGGTCTCGGCCAATCGGCGCGCTCGGAGGCGCATCCGGCTCCGCTTCCCGCCAATCAGCCGCGGGGGGTTCGGTGACTTCACTTTAACCGCCACCAATCGCCTCACTCTCTGTCGGAAAGCCAATCAAAAGTCCTGCGTGGCTCTACCTGCGTCGACGCCTGACCAATACCCTTCGCCGTCCTCACTGCGACCAATCAGAGCGCCGTCCGCGGCGCCCAATCCGGGCGGGGCAGAGCCCCGGGGGGCGTGAGGAAAGGACCAATGGGAGCTCGAGCAGGCCGGATTCTGCTCAACAGCTTGTTATTGGGCTCGGCGCTGCCCGGCCGCTGCCAGTCCGGGCGGGCGGGCGGGGGGGGGCGGAGCGGGGCCGCGCTCAGCGCCGCCGCTCACGGGAGGGGGGCGGGGGGGGGCGGTGTCGGCGTCGTCGCGGCGGGGCCGAGCCGAGCCGGGCAGAGCCGAGCCGAGCTGAACCGAGCCGAGCTGAGGCGGGCGCTGCCCACTTCGCTCCCACTTTCCAGGTACGGAGCGAAACCGGGGCGGGCGGGCGGGCACAACTCCACCGCTCCGTCCCCATAGAGAGAGAGAGGGAGGGAGGGAGGGAGGGGGAGGCTCGGAGGTGGGGGCCGCCCGTTGCTGCCCCCCCCCCCCCCCCTCCACACAAGGATCCCGAAGCTTGGAGGCGGCGGCGCCCAAACTTGGGAGGGGCGGGGGGAAGGCGGCGGCGGGGCCCCGGGTCCCCCCCGGGTCCCCCCCGTTCCTCCTCGGTTCCCCCCCCACAGCCTCCCCGTGCGGTTCCGGGAGCGGGAGCAATGGCGCCGTGACACACCGAGCGGCCCCGGGACGCTTTTTTCCCCCCCCCCTTTTTTTTTTTTTTTCCCCGCCGCCCCCTCACGAGCAGCCCCCCCCCGCCCCTCAGCCTCTCTCGTTGTCTCGCAGCCCTTCCCCTGGCCGCGGCCGAGAGGAGTCCCGGAGCTGGAAGCCCTCACGTAACGGCCGAAGATGAAGGTAAGCTGCCTCACGGGCTCCCTCCTCCTCCTCCTCCTCCTCCTCTGGAGGTTTTCGCTTCGCTTCTGCCTCCTCCCGCCGCCGAGCTGAGGAGGGAGCCCGGAGCTGAGGGTCCGCACCGTGCCTCAGAGTTGTTGTCCTTCGGGCTCCTGCCTCGAAACGCTTCCTGTGGCAGCAGCCGCTGCTGTTGCAAGTTTGCAAAACCACAGCTTTTGTCCTCTCTCTGCTGTTGCCGGTGTTGTTTTTTTCTTCGTACATAGCCTTAACTTAACAGGATAACTCGCAAAAAGAGAGAAAAAACTTTTCCTGGCTTCCGAGTTTGAGAAATAATCGCAATTCAACGACAACAACAAAGCAGCGTCTTAATATTCCACGCTGATTTCCTGTCTCGCTGGACGTGTTCAGCACGGGGGTTTTGTCCTGGCCGATCTGTTGCTACAAGCACCATAAAGCGAAACGTTAAGTAATAAACCCAGATTAAGACAAAAAAAAACACATTGACAAATATTCCTCTCCAAACGCAGAAGCGGCTGAACTTTCATAAAGGCGTCTAAAAGGAAAAGAATAACAGCTAACAACTGTTTGAAAGAGCAGAGCAAATTTCTCTAGAGGCCTCCTTTTAGTCCGCAGGAGGAAAAAAAAAGTCCTATATATAGAATGGTACAGACTTAATTGTAGGTATTGGGATGATAACAGTCTCAAATGCTTTAAATAATCTGTGTCGTTGAATTGCTTATAGCTGAGAAAAGTGCAGCTATCTTTTGTACTGCAGGTCTGCAGCTGAAGTATTTTCCTTTTGTATGTTGTACGAGAGTAACTTGAATTAATTGTCATTCTTATACATTATTACCCTTTTTTAAGAAGATGTTTGAAATACCAATTTAAAAGTCTCAAAGATATTTTTAGGAGAGTAATTAGGCTGACAGATTCACGGGTCGGCGACACTATGTGAAACAAAACTTCCTGTAACTTGTTTGTTTGTTGTTTTTTGTTGTTTTTCCAATTATTATGGGAAGAGCAGTCTGATTGCAGACGCTGTTTGTCACTTAAGGATCAATAAGTCTCAAAGTTGAGATGAAAAATCAAATATATGGTGCTATAGCTGTAAAAATAATTAAGAGCTAAACTTTCTTCCTATTTTTTGTTTCTTAATAGGCAGCGGATGAGCCTGCCTACCTGACAGTGGGAACTGATGTCAGTGCCAAGTACCGTGGTGCCTTCTGTGAGGCAAAGATTAAGACAGTGAAAAGGCTTGTGAAAGTCAAGGTAGTATGCTGTGCTTCTTGGTGGTATTATTAAAACGCTGTGTTGAAAGGGTTATTAGAAAAGATCAAAATCCTAAAGACTAGGAAATGTTCATCAACTTAGTATATAAATTTTAAGAACACTTCAATGCTGGTGCATTTATGATTTTCATGTGTGTTTTTTTTTTCCCTTTTTTGTTTGTTTGTTTGTTTCCAAATTTTTGAGCTCACTCCTGTTTCAGCAGGAACGGGCTTAGAAATTACCTATTTGTGCTACTTACTTCCTGATCACGGTTGTCTTCTGTTTTGAATGCATCAGTTTCACAGCAATCAGTTCTGATGTTACGAATAGAGGCTTATGGCTTTACATGTGTAATGAGAGACAGAGCAGACTCTTCAGAAGCAAAAATTACATTTCCTTCCAGCTGACATTGTCAGTTTTACTTAAGAGACAATGCCAAAATAAATCAAGGTTAGAATGAAAAATATGGCAATGGTTAGTGTTTTAGGTCAGGTTTTAGAAGTGTTCAGGATGATACTTTGTTAGTTTTGAGCACCTTGCTACCGCCTTTAAAGTAGTTTCCTTTAGCTGTAGCTGAGCTCCTATGCCAGTCTAGAACTGGCACTTAGTACTCATTTACATTTACAGGTCTTATGCCAAAACAACCAAAACAGAAAGTCATTATTTTGATGTTGTAGTACTATTGTTAATGCTAATGTGGGAAAACAGGGATAAAACCTAGTTAAATAGAAGTTAAGGATGCAAAGTAAATATAGAAGTTGTTCTTGTACTTTGTTCTCTCAAATTCTTCCCACTTCGTACTTTCTAGTCTACTGTCCAGGATATGTAAATAAGGCACTAGCGACCCAATAAAACTTACCAAATAGAGTTGAAAGCTTTTTAGAACACATCTAAGTTTTCACGTGCTTTAATGCTTAGATCAAGTAGAACAAGCTATCAGTCTCTTCAGTTACATATATAGATCATATCATTTTTTCTTTTTAAATCATGAAAAGAAGTCTGATTAAAAAAAACCTATTCAGATATTTCAGTCTTTTCCCCTGTTCTTAATGAGTACTTCTAGAAATTTGCAATGTTCTTTGAAATCTGTGTTAACGAGGTGCTCTGTAGGAAGCAATGTGCTCCCCTTCCCCGTGTGATATCCTCGATTTTTGTATCTATTTCTTTGGTCTGAGCATTTAGACTGTTCATGGGTGTGAGCTTCTTTTACTCTATAGCTTTTAAAGCATTTAATATGCTTTATTGCTCCACGGAAAGACTTGTAAGTATAGGACTTGGTGGAAATTCTTGTCACTGTATCTTAGTTGTAAAATAACAATTGAAGTTTTAGCAAGCTAAGCCTGATATTGTAATTAAGAGTGTGTGGGCACACCCCGGCGTACTTCCCAAGTCCAAACAGTCCAGCAGTCTCTTCCTGAGTAGCAGAACTACCTGTATTTATCTCAAGGCTGATAAAAAAAAAAAAAAAAAAAGTAAAAACGGCATGAGCTGTGTTATTGTTTGGAATTCATATTACTACAAACTGTGTGTTAGTATGCAGCTGCCATGTAGCCTGTGGTTGAATGATGAGGGAGCTAGAAAACTGGGCGTCTTTATAGGTAGAAAGGAAGTTCCTTGAATTTTTGGATCCTGAAAAGAAGTAGGAATTTTTGATTAAAACATGTTTGACACTTAAGTAGGTAGCTCTTTTTGCTGTAGAAAATGGCAGAGAAACAGTTAATAACCATTACCATTAAATATTTGTCTTTAATGTTTCTAAATCCAAGTCTCTGCAAACTTAGGGATTCAAATTGCATAGGCTTTTGCTCATTGTGTGTCATCAGTGTTACACTCTCAAAACACAGGATTTTAAATGGAAAAACATGCCTTACTTGCAGTGTAGCTGATCCTTATTTTATTTACACTTTTACTGGTTCACATCTTTACCATAGAAACTTTCTCTTGTTTGAGATAGCAGAGGTGGTGGTATTGTGGTCAGTTCAAAGATTATTTTTTTTTTTGATATGTTTTAATATAGAGAGCTTTGTATTTTGGTTGCAGTTCAGTATTCAAATGATGTGTTGTTAATGAAGTGCTACAATTAGAGAGAGAGAAAAAGCCCATTAATCTTGTGGTCTGCAGACCCGGTTCCAGGTATACCCTGGATTGCATTGATAATTCAAACTCCCATCAAAAACTTGATATACCTGGGGTTTGATTTGCTCTTTTCTTGAATTATGATGTTTCAGGTTGAGTGTTAAGTGTGATACTTGGGGCTTCCTGTGAGTAAAATCAGCCACGCCAAAGGTTTTGCGTTCAATAATGTTTGAGTACATTTGATTGATAAAGATCTTATTTTCCTAATTATTATTACCCTTTCATTTGCTTCTTATCTACCATTAAAAATAAGATACGTATTAAAAAGTTTATGGATATCTTTCAGGTGGTTCTGAAGGGGGATAACTCAACTCAGTTAGTGCAAGATGATCAAGTGAAAGGACCTCTAAGAGTATGTATACTGCATGCCTTTTTTTTCTTAATCACAAAGTTGATTTGTAAAATTGAAAGTTTTGATGGTGTTTATCTGGGTACCTGATCTACAGAATTGAAATC